ACACATGATGATGGTGATTATGTGTACCTTACTATTGTTTTCCATAAAACATTCCCTTTTCATACATTTCCTTGCATATCCTGTTTTCCCACTGACATTTTAGCTTTAAAATTTTAAAAACTCAAATATTTCCTTCTTTTACAATTACTGCTAACGAATGATGACTTAAAAGTAAAACCAGTTGTTTGTAAAGTGGAAAGGAATTGTAATATGCTTAAAAATATTTTTGATATGATTCTGCTCGTAAATTACTTGACAAACCCAAAACATGTAGCTATCTCCCACCCCTATTCTTATCCTGCTTCGTTTGATGTGTCCTAATCATAATTGCTTTTGTTTCTTCCTTACACTCCTGTCTCCATACTTTTGGCAGTGCTGTTCCAGTGGCTGATGTTCTGTTGCACAATTATACAAACAGTGTAACTTTTGGAAACAGATTGCTATAAGTTAAGAAGGTACCTCTTGCATACTGAGATGTGCAACCTGACCTGCTACAGACAATTTCTATGGTGTTTTTTTAAAAATCCTCTAAAAGTTATGCTATTTGCATAACTCTATGACAGGATTTCAGATGATGTTTTGAAAACTCTTTAAAAGGCACATCTAACCCACCATGTTATCCTAAACGCTGAACACACCAATCTTGCCAGGTCTTAGAAGTTTATCGACACTGTACCTGCATAGTCTTTGGCTGGATGACAACCAGGTGATATAAGAGATCTTGAGGTAGGGCTAAGTTAGACTCTTGTTTGAAAATGCAAAGAGCTGCTGCCAGTCAAATTTTACAATGCTGAGTTAGATAATTTGATGTGATTGGACTCTGAATAAAGCCATTTCCTATACTCAGGAAAATCCCAATAATTTGCAAGTTCCTATCTCCTCCTTAGAAATGTCCTCACAGAAAATCCTTCATACTCTTACTTGGTGAGTTCTTTTCTCCCAATAGCCAATTTACCATGAATACGTTTCAGGCGGCTCCAAAGGAGCAGAAATGAGGGACAGACAAATTAGGCCTTTAAATCTGTTGTTTGTTCACTGTCAATATAGGCAAGCAAATGATGATGGACAAATTTACATGATATAGGTTGAAATCCTATTGCTTAGTCTAGTAAGTTGCAACTCGAATAGGACCATTGAATCTGTGGGGATTTGGTGAGTAAACACCTTCAGAAGTTCCACTGATTCAATGGCCCTACTCCAGTTGTGACTTACTAGATTAAGCAGCAGGATTTCAGTCATAGAATTATAGAAGAATAGAGTTGTAAGAGACCGCCGTGGTCATTGAGTCCAGCACCTGCCAAAGCAAGAAATCCCTACCTAATATATCCCTAAAAGGTGGTCATCCAACCTCTGTTTAAACGCTCTCCATGTTGGAGCACTTCATGAGAAGACAAGACTTTCTGGAAAAGACAATAGTGCTGCAAAAATTAAAGGCAGCAGGAAAAGAAAAAGACCAAATATGAGATGGATTGAATCCATAAAAGGTAGCACAGCTGAGTTTGCAAGATCTAAGCAGAACAATTAATGATACAGTATTCAGGAGGTCACTCATTCATAGGATTTCTGTAACTTGGAGGTAACAGCAGCACATAACAGCAACTACAATAATAATGTTGGAGAATCCAGTACCCTCCAAGGCAGACCTGGGCAAAGTGTGGCCCGAGGGCCACATACAGCCCACGAGCCGCTCCTGTCTGGCCTGTGGACAGTTTTGAACATCAAAACCATTTATAGCTTTTTGTCTAAAGTTGATCAGTTGCTTATCTTTAACATACCACAAAAACCTCTTTAGTATTTGTGTAGATTAACAAGTTTAAAATAAAAACAATCATAACATCACTGTTTCATTTTATTTTTAAGTAAAGTTGGTTTGGCCCCCGAACACAGTTCAGATTTTTAATGTGCCCCCCCCCCATAGAAATTAATTGCTCACCCCTGCTCCAAGGTGATCCATACTGCTGGTGAACAGTTTGCATGGTTCTTCCTAATGCTGAGTTGAAATCTCTTCTCCTGTAATTTAAATCCACTAGCTTGCTTCCTCCCAACCTTGCTTCATCTTCAACATGACGGACTTTCAGGTACGTATTTGAAGATGGATATTATATTGCTTCCCAGTTTCATCTTCTCCAGACAAAACATGTCCAACTCCCTCAACCATTGTAGGGCTTGCTTTCCAAAACATCTATCATCCTAGTCACCTTCTCAATATTCATCTTGAATTGTGGTACACAGAACTGGACACAATACTTCAGCAGAGGTTGGACAAATGCAGAATATCATTCGTAACAATTTCTGTATGCCCTGCATACAAAGCATAACCTCCCAGTTGTTATGTTTAAAAAAAAATGATTGAGTGTGTGTTTGGAGGATTGTCAGCAGCTATAGAGTTTGATGAGTACAATTTTCCTAGTTCTTCCTGCCCCTGCTAGTGACTCATGAATGTAAAGCAAACTACGCAGAATAATAGCTGTTTGAATAATTTATTCTGGAAGAAAAAGAAATGAAGTAAAAAAAATTCAGTTTGTAGAAGGAACACAATTCATCTGTTGTTGGGGCAGATTCTGGGTTATTTCATCACCGTGTTGCAGGGGAGGACATGTCCCCTGCAACAAGAATGTGTGAGATCACCATCGTTTATCAGGTTAACGTTGTTTTATCTTTGCTATTTCTTAAGGTGAATGGATAGTTCATTTAGATACGTGGCTATACAGCCAGAAGATGCAGGTGGAATTCCTCCCCGTGCTTCCTGGGAGAATATCCAGCCTGTGTGGCCTTGGGCAAGCTGCAGTCCCAGGTTGCCCCCAGAGGAAGGGAATGGTAAACCACTTCCGAGTACTATAAACCTAGAAAACTCTGGAAAGGATTGCCATAAGTCACAATAGACCTAATGGTACATCGTCATGATCATAATCAAAACATATTTTTTTCAAACTTTTTATGAGAAAAAATAGTTTGTCCATTATTTTAAAAAAATCAAAATTGTTTTCATTAATTGCCGTGCCTTTTTAAAATTTATGAATTGAATATATTCATGAAAAGTAACTCCCCTCCTCATAGTAAACAACCTCCTCATAGTAAAGAACTGTATGATGGATGATAATAGAGATTGTAATGATATGGCTGAGGTGTACATTAGATTCCTGTACACATGGACATTTTTGAACAGTAAAAGGGATCGCTCATACCAAAACGCATCCACACCACATAATCCACCTGTGTCCTTTCTCACTATGAGGGACAGCTCAACTCAAAAAGAATAGTTGAGGGTGGTGGAAGTTGACTTCCTTCTCCTCACTATTTGAAAAGTCAGGGCAAGGCCTGGTTCTCTTTAGTAGAGTCTCTACACCATCATCACTGGTGGTGGGATCTTGAGAAAAGTGTGTTTAGAAAGGGCTTCTCCTCCCCGCATGGTCATGGCCAGGACACAGAGCTTGGCTGGGGGGAATGAATAGAGGTGGAATGCTGATTAATGAAGGACTAGCAAGCCCTTGTCGAATAAATTGGGCAGCGATATTGGGGGTTTGGGGTGTGTGAGGAGACATTCAAGTCAACCCCGCCTGAGATGGAACCTAAAACCTACACCTCTGATTTGAATCTGCAGTTCCCTTTTTGAAAGTTATTTTTAACAAAGGAACCTAGCACACACATCTGGCCATGATGTCTGGAACGTTTACGTTTTTTTTCCTGCATCATCTGCTCTTCTGCTCTGCCCAGCCTGATGAAGACCTGTACAGAGTTTAAAGCTAGTTTATGTTTGTGATTATTTAGTGATCTAAATAATCCCATACTCCTCTTTGTTTGTTTCCCTCTTAACCTTGGAGTTCTATTACAGCGTAAATACAGTTCTAAAAACAATGCCCCTCCTCTTTTGTGACGGTTTGAAGAGATTTTTTTTTGGTGTCGTTTTTAAAAGCGTTTTGACAGTCTCGTTTTTGAAACTTGATACCAGCTGCCTTCCATGTTTCGTGTGAATTGGGATTACGATGGGATTTAAAGCAAAGCGACCTGCTGGTCCCACTTCCGGTTGAGCGGTGGGTGGTGGGGACCCAACTTCTCCGTCAGCGCCCCTCTACCCACCTCTTTCGGAGACGCAAACCGTGCTGAATTCAATGGGACTTGCTCCCCACCAAGAGGGTGAAAGAGCGCAAGAGGAGCTTCCCTCCGAAAAGTCACTGCTCGCTGGGCGCGCCTCGAGCGCCTCTTTGCTCTCCAGCCCCTTCAGGGGAGCCGCCGCTCTCGCCTCCGGGCCGCTGACGCCCAAGGGCCCCCTTTCAGGCGAAAGAAACATCCGCAGCCTCGAAAAGGTCCCCGAGCCAAATAGGGCAAAGGGGACCCGCTGAAGTCCCCCGCCGAGGGCGCGCCCTCCACAGCGGACCATCGGGCCGCCTCTTGGACTGGGAGGGAGGAATCACTCCGGGCGCAAGGCAACACTCCACTAATGACTCTTTCATTAATTATATTTCCTAGTGGATTAAGTGCACCTAAACCGCACAAGTCCACCGAGGAGGAGCGAGCCTCGCGGAGGTTAATGGGAACCGGGCGAAGTCTGTGACCCTTCCGCAGCCTGGTTCTTCAGAGGAGCCCCGGCTCCCTCCGTGAGCCCCCGGCCATCCACGCAAAGCCCCTCCGCGGCCGGGGGCTCGGGCGCTCAAACCTGCCCTCTTTTCTTTTTTTCCCCTCGAACCATCCTTCGCCCCGCCTCGCCTCTGAAGTCACGGCCAGCTCCTCAGAGAGAGGGAGGGGGGAGAGAGGAGGGGAAGGAGGGAGGGAGGGGGAGAGCATGAGGAGGCCAGAGCTTTGCTTAAGCTGCAGAAAGGGAGAAGGCAGCTGAGGGGAAGGAAGAACGCCAGCCCGCCCGCCCGGCCCGGCCAGGAAGGAACGCGGCGTCTCCCGAGCTCCAGCACCTGCCGAGCTGAGGCGCGCGCGGGGGTACCCTGGACAGCGTCTCGAGACTGAAGGATGCCTATGATGACAAGTAGCAAAAAGATGAAATGTGAGGGGCCGCCGCCGCCAGCCGAGCGCGCCCGCCAAGCGACCCGCGGAGCCGACGACATGGTGAGTGAAGGGGCCAGCCTATTTCTGGCCCGCTTGACGACAGCCGCTTTTCTTCCCGCTACTAGAAATCGCTAAATCCGGAGAGGGGGAGAGGCAGGAGGAGGACGAGGGCGAGAACCCTCCGGCAAGAGCTGCCTGCCTTTGTCAGAGCTGGAGGAAGGAGGGACAGCGGCGGCGGCGGCGGCGGGGAGGGGGGCTAGTAGGGACCCATTGGCGCGAAGGGGTTGCCCACCCCCTCGTTTGCTTAGCCTGGTCGGTGTCTTTTCCACGCCGCTGGACGCCCCCTGCCGCGACATTCGCCCTGTGCGTACAAATGGACACCACGCATACGGCATGTGCCTGTAATGCAAAAGAAGCACCATCTCTGTGTGTATGTGTTTGTGTGTGCTTGTGTCTTTCACACCCATCCACCCACCCACGCTCACACGCACACCCCGCTCATTCCCTTCCACACACATGCTTCCCGGCTCCCTTGCTCTCCCAAACACACCCACTCACATGTGCCCACACATGTCCTTTCCCTTTCCTACATTTCTGTGCAACGCTGTCTCCCCACACCATGTTTTCTGTCATACCCACCACAACACAATTCTCTACACTCATTCCAGTATCCCCTCTCTGTGTATTGGCATATACAGATGTACATTCTTTCTCGGGCATACACAAAATCCTTTCATGGATTTATGTACCTATTGTTTTTCGATCTCATGAACACTGTGTTCTTTTCTCATTACTGCACAAACCCACATATTGCTGGGTCTATTCTCTGTTATGCATAAATTCTACCTTTTAATTCTCTTTCATGCAGAAGGATGCAAGCCAATGCACTTCATATAATGTGCATGTCATGTCTGCCCACCTCAATAACACACCCACACAATCATTGATGCTGCTTCCCCCTACACACAGGTAACTGGATTTTTTTAAAAAACAAGCCTGCTCCTGTATACATGTGGGGAAACACATTTTCCATTTCACATAGACCCACATTAGTGTATCATCTCTCTCCTCTATCCATCCACAGCCAAGACATCCGCATGCACTGATATGATGTATTCCAAATGCACATATAACCTCAGCACACTCATAGAAAGATTTACTTTTGCTGTTTCCTCACTTTCTTGCACACACTGATAGAAGTATACTCAGAATCTCGTGGAAAACCTGCTTTACATCCTGAGAGTTGCTTAGCCAAAGACCTGGAAGCCAAGCCTCTCCTTTCCCCTTCCATCTCATAGTGTTTTAAAATTATTTTACTGTACTCACGGACTAGTTCTGTTTTGCATGCCATGTGTCCCTTATCCATCTACTCTACCACCTTGATTCCTTTGTAGTGCAATTGTGTAATTGCATTGGAATTCCACTGCTGTATATTTGAAGTGAGTTCCAAGTGAGAATGTTTGTGGCTTTTTGGTTACCCTTCTGGAATTTCAATATGCCTCATGTTCTGTGTGTGAGTTGTAATTTATGCCACTTTTGAGTCTTTGGCCATTTTCTGTGTGTTAATCTGAATTCGATTGATCATTTGCTTTTATCATTGTAAGCTACCCAGAATAGTGCATTTCACTAATGGGGCAGTATAGGAATAAAACAAAGAAACAATTTAATCAGCTGTGCTTTGCAGAGTCCACCATCTCTTTAAAAGGAACAAAGAGAAGGAAAAAAATAAATTATTGTTATATCCATAGTGAGGTGTGAAAAACTGCAAATTCTAGTGTGTCATAAATGTTTCACTACAGCAGTGGTTCCTAACCTTGGGTAAACCTAGGTGTTCTTGGACTGCAGCTCCCCAGCACACCTGGTGGTGAAGGCTTCTGCAAGTTGCAGTCCAAGAACACCTGGTTTTATCCAAGGTTGGGAACCCCTGCATTATGGCATTGCTACATTTCTTCTTTCTCACCTGCCTTTGTGGCAGTCAGATTAAAGGAGTGTGGGGAAGGCTAGTTTAAGAGGAAGTACTCAACTCCTTCCTGACTTCTGGCCAGCATCGTGCTGCTCAAAGAGCTAGTCCAAAAGCTGGCTGGCTCAGCACCCATAATACGAACGGCATCTTTCTTAGATGGAAGACTTGATGAAACTCCAGACCCAAACAGTTTGCAAATTCCCAGGACGTTTGTGCATGGCATCTGATTTTGGGGAGAAAAAAAACCCTGTTTGTATCACAAATCCATGATCTGGGATGCATGGTTGAGAATTAGTATTCCACTTTTACTTCTATATAACCCATTTTGAAGTGGGTCTTTTGTGAAGATTTTTGTATTAGATTTTAGGGTTTTTTAGAATGTTGTTCAAATTTTTTATGTTGTAGAATGCCTTTAGAAGAAATGCAAAACTTATTTTGGTACAGAAGATTCTTTAGTATTTCATGGAATGTTTCATGCATATATTCTGGAGTGGGGGTTGGAGAATATGTGGCCCTCCAAAAGCTTTGGGATTGTATCACCCATTATGTTTTGCTAGGACAATCAATAATGAAGGATGATGGGAACTGCAGTCCAACAAAATGTGAGGAACCAAATAAACATTCCAGGTCTCTACGATAAATTTAAAAATGCAGAACAAACAAATCTACTGTTTCCATGCTTTGGAAAAGTTTCTAGATACCTGTAATGATAATTACTAGCCTCAAGCAGCATGGCAATTAGATGACATTTATTTAAACTTCACCTTTGCTTGAAATAAAACTTAGACTAGATATGGCTTCCTTCCCTAGCTACCTGAAAGAGCCCTGACTTGTGCACAATGAAAGAGAGAGAAAATATTCAGAGAATTGCAATATCTTTTAGTAAAAATAATTTAAACTAATGAATGTAATAGTGGATCAATGGTGACATTGCAGAGCAAATGCAATGAAAACAGATGGAGGAGGAATAAAATAAAATTCAAACTCTACTTAAAAGTATTCTTGAAGGCTTTCATGGCTGGGATCCAATGGTTGTTGTAGGTTTTTTGGGCACGGCCAAACAGCCTGGAAAACCTACAACAACCATCCACTCAAAAGTATTCTTAACAGATTTTGTATCTTATATAGAATGAAACTGAAGAGAGTTAGGCTTTGGAGGATACTGAAGGACACTGCATGTCACTTTATATTGATTCCATTTTGCCAAGGACCCCTCCTTTATATTTCATTACCATTAATCAGACACTGAATAATTTTAAGTGAAGGTTTTTAAAAGTGATGGGCGTGACATAAATAAAAAATACGATGTAGCTGAACATTTTGAGAGTGGGAGGGGGTTATCTAATAGACTGTGAATTTAAAAACCAACCAACCAACCATGCCTAGCAGATAATTGTAGGCAAGGATGGCTGATGATTGGGATGGGACTGGGTTCCTCTAAAATTTTGGGAGGGAGGGAAGATATCTACATGTGCAGCAAACCGGTCCTGTTTTCAGGAAATAAGAACAAAAGAGTACATTTCCATGTGCAAATAAATTTAAAAAGGGGATTGACATAGTAACATATCATGGTTTTCTTTTCCATCCCCATCTTCTTTTCTCATTTTGTCATGTTCTTTTGAATTATGCATATGGAGGGACTATTTTGTCTTTGTTTTATTAACATACAGCTTCTTTAAGAGTTTTTTCAGCTGTAGAGTGACATACTATGTATAAATAATGAATAAAAAACCCCATTATTAGTCTTGCTATATGGTCTTATGAGCCAGTTCGACGATTGTATGAGTGAGGAAACTGAGGTGCAAGGTACCTAGATAACCAAATTCATTTCTCAGCAACACGATCATGTATTACAGTATGTTTGTTGTGACAACAAATGAGATTGCCTCATAGATCTCCAAGGAGCATACTAATAGTAACATGTAGTTAATGATATATTACATAATTAACAGCTAGGTGTGAATAATCTGTGCATAAGGTCATATACCGGCTATTAAGTTCTTCTTACTAAGCTAAACATTAAACTACCCAGAATACTCAGAGGCCTTAGAGAGTTAAATTTTTAAAAAATAGAAATGTATTCTGTATGGTGACTTATCCTGGTAAGAATTTATTTATTTATTTATTTATTTAGATTAAACAAAAGCTGTCACTTATAGAGGAAAATTGATCTTTCTTTGGTCCTGGTGAAGTATGACAAGTGCAACCAAAATAGCTGGCCCTCTACCAACTTCCCCGCAGAACTGAACTGGCAATGCCACTAACCGTCATTGATTAAAATTAGCCTCGGTTATGGTTTGGGACACACTCCTGGCATCCAGTTGTATATTACAGCAGAGTAGACCAGATCCTTCTGCAGAGCTGTGTTGGTTTATTTATTGCATTGTTTCATTTATTTTAAAAAACCCAAATAAACAGAATATCAAGTACTTGAATTATGCTCAGTTGAGGCTAACGGCAAATTAAATCCAATATCTGATTTTTTTAAAAAGTCTGAGAAAAGCACTATAAGCTAATACATAAAGCTGATAGAGTTCCTTTCTGGGGAGAAAATGGGATACAAACTGAATGAAGGAATGAACAAATGAATGAAAATTCAGACGTTTGTACCGAATTTAGTTTGTGCCTTCAGAACCTGTGTAAAATTTAAGTCTGGTGACCAAACAGAACTTCATAATTTTTAACAATTTTGTCAATTAAAAACCAGTGCTCTGGGCCATCATGTGAGCTGATCATAAGGATGCTGGGTTAGAGCCGAATTAGTGCTTAGTGGAGCTCTGCGTGCACAGGAATACAGTAAATGGATGGCAGGCAACGTTAGCAATGGCTCCTTTCCCCTGCAGCTACCTTTAGGGCAATGGTGTCACCAGGAGCAGCAAGAGAAAGGAATACAGTGGGAAAGAAGAATTGGCAAAAATTGCCTCACTGTCCCCGCTCTTCTAGTAGGAGACTTCGATGGATTGTGTTTGTTTTCAGTGGATGGAAACGGTGCTTCTGTTTATAAAATGGCAGACCCAGATCTAACACGGCCATGCTGATAGTAGTCATTGAGTCAAATGCAAAGAGTTAGTTGAGATTAATGTAATCTGAAGTCAAT